GATAGCATTGGGTGAGTTTGACATCTCCTACCAACCAAAGCCAGCTGAGAAGGGCCAAGCAATGGCAGACTTCATCGCCGACTTCACATATCATGTTGACATTTTTTCTACGCTTAAAGAAGTGGTTTCATTACCCTCAGAAGCTCAGAAAAAAGAACCAACAGCCCCAGCATGGAGCCTATATGTTGATGGCTTGTCCAACCAATAGGGTTGTAGAGCATGACTAGTCCTTACGACCCCTGACAAAGTGGCAATGGAGTATGCTCTTCGTTTCAAATTCAAGGCATCGAACAATGAGGCCGAATATGAAGCCCTCCTAGCAGGCTTACGTTTGGTCAAACACCTTGGGGTTAAACGAATTGATATCTTTAGTGACTCCCAATTGGTGGTTAACCAGGTCACCAATAACTTTGATGTTAAGGATAGCTCCAGGGCAGCATATCTGGCACAAACACAATTGTTGCTCAAGCACTTCCACTACCAGATCACCCAAATTCCTCAAGCGGCAAACAGTCATGCAGATGCTTTGGCTCACCTTACCTCAGCTGTGGAAGAAAAGATTGGGAGAAAAATTCAAGTCGAATTGTTGGCAGCACAAAGCACCATGGCTACGGAAGTGTGCAACTTACAACAGCGGGATAGTTGGATTACCCCGATTTATAGATTCCTTACTTATGGCACCCTTCCAAATGACAAAGTCCAAGCTAAGCAAATTCGACACAAGGCTACCCGTTACTTGATCATTAATGACAAACTCTACAAGCGGGGTTTTAACCTACCATGCCTAAGATGCCTTACGCTCGCAGAGGCGGAAACTGTCCTTCGGGAAATACATGAAGGAGTCTGAGGAGATCATGTTGGATCTCGATCCCTATCACACAAGGCTTTTCGCCAAGGATATTAATGGCCAACACTTCACCAAGATGCCATCAGAATATCCCGCTCATTTGATAAGTGTCAACGCTACGCAACTATTCCTCACTCCCTTCCTGAGCCGCTCACTCCTATGATCAGCCCCTGGCCCTTCGCCCAATGGGGACTTGATTTGATCGGCCCAATGGGCAAGTGAGAATGATACAAGGAAGCATGTGGAGACAAGCGTAATAGAACACGTGCCGATACATCCACTACTTTGTCAACAGCAAAAGTATCCCATATAATCAAGGTCGAACGTACTCTAGATTTGATGGACTTGTTTTGACCCTCAAATTCTTAAGTCGGCTTTATACTCTGAAGGAAACTAGAAAACCCTCAAGCCCAGTTCAATAATAAGCATGTGGAAAGTTACTTCTTCAAAAATAAAAGTATCTCATATCATCTCTTCTCCATTTGCTTCTCTTTATCCTTGTTGTTGTTTACGACACAAGGAGAAGGAGAACAATCAACCGGAAGCCGAAGTCGAACCTCCGATCTAGGTTGCTTGCTTGAAAGTCTGATTGCTTACCTTGTCTGTTACCTCATTCGGCAAATCTCCTAGCTCGGCGACTTGGGGGACTCCTATTATAGGCTTTCCAAAACTACAAGTAAGCTTCAAGTGAAATTGATACATTACCTTGTGCATCTTCATCGATTAAAGATATCACCCCTGGATGGAGGAAAAGTACTTCCAGAGAATATGTCACATCTACATATGAGACAGATAAGGCAAGTGAAAATGATACCACACTTCAGTACTTAGAAGTTTCGTGATTACTCAATGGCTTGGATCTTGCAAGTCCCCAACTGAGGAGCTTCCCTCACTCGGGAACTTAGGGGAGCACTGTTTGTACCATACTTGACCAATCCCAAAACTACTGAGCACCGATCAACGTTATACCATCAAGGACCCAGAAGAGTTTCCCTCTAACTAGGAGGCCAATCACAGCGCGACACGTGTCGACATCAGAAGCCAATCATAACACGACACGTGTCAACATCAAAAGCCAATCACAACACGACATGTGTCAATGTCAGAATGAAACTAGAAACTCTCTTCTATAAATAGAGATCATTCTCTCACAATATTTCCTAATGTCATTTGTACTAAATCATTCACTAGTACTCATTAAAGGAGAGCTTGAACCTAAGTACTTGTGTAAACCCTTCACAATTAATGAGAACTTCTCTACTCCGTGAACGTAGCCAATCTGGGTGAACCACGTACATCTTGTGTTTGCTTCCCTGTCTCTATCCATTTACATACTTATCCACACTAATGACCAGAGCAATCTAGCAAAGGTCACAAACTTAACACTTTTTATTGTACCAAAGTCCTCACCGATTTTATGCATTAACATAGTCAGCTGTCTCAAATTTTCGAGGTGCAAAATTATCATTTTGCTCTCGGTTTTGAAACGTGCATAACTTGTTTGTTATAACTTTGAACTGAGTTCCGTCTACAGCAACATGTTCGTAAAAATGAATATTGTTCAGAATTAGTTAAATAAGAGTAAAAATTTGAAAGGAAAATTTGAGGTCCATGTGGAAGGCCTACGTGGCATTTCAGGGGCATTTTGATAATTTCATTACTACTGAGAATAAAATACAGTAAATTTTGGGACGGAATGTCACAATCAGTGCTCAACAATGTGAATTTTTTTGTTTCAAACTGTGAACATTTGATTTAAATGATTTTTTTGTTTTAGGATAGCTTAATGGTATTATGATTTTATTGTAATGAATCTTTTTCAATTGCAAAGTTTCGAGCCAATACATGAATGTCTTGCAAGTAAAATGACTTTACGAACTAATGTAACCTTTATTTTGGTTGATACGATGATTTTGTTGCTTGGAATTTTTCTATTAATCGAATAATTAATTTTTAAAAATGCCCAAAATTTATGCGTTTGAATTAGAGTTGTCAAAAATAAAATTGAGACTTGTTTTGTGTGGAGCAAGAGGTAAATAAATGTGTAAAAACTGAAATGTCTAAAATAGTTTAAATTTAACAATCCATTAACGAAAGTGGGTAAATTGAGACAAAAGAGTTGAACATATCAGCTTCAAGGGGCAAAGTGAGACAAAACCAGTTTTAATGGGTAAACTGAGACTCAATGATAGTTTCAGGAGCATTTTGACTAATAAGCCTTAATACAATTCTACGGCTTACTTTTTGTCATACCTAGGGGGTGGGCAAAGGGGTACAGGAACTGCGGGTTAGGGCGGGTAATTAAGGTTCAGGACTGGTAGGGGCCGATTTCTATTTTGTAAAAAAAAAAAAAATAGGGCGGGGTGGGGCGAGCCTTTGAAATCAAGTACCCGGACCGGCCCGTTTGTAGTTAGAATGGACGGATGAGATTGAAGAAATCATCTCTCCATCCAATCTGAATCGTTGGTTTTAGGTTTGCTCGTCCTTAAACCTATCGAATTCAATTATCACTCTCACTCTGTCAATCGAGTCGCCGTCTCCAATGCGTCGTCCCCTTCCCTTCACCACCCTGACAGCACGACAGCCTGACAGCCCAGGCGACCATCATCTTCTCGATTTGTCACCTCTTTCTCACCTCTCTTTTACCTCTCTCTCTCGGCGTCTCGATTTGACATCCCAGGGACCCAGACTTACAAAACCCCGCCACCCTACACAATTTGTCACCTCTCATTCGCCGTCTCGAGTGCGTCGTCCCCTCCCCTCATCGAGAAGGACGGGATTTAAATCCTGCAAGTTTACTTTAAAGAGATCAGCAAGCGCATGCTCGACACCGTCAAGTCCAAGAACGCCATTGCTTCCGCTGCTCAAAAAGGCACCACGAAGTTCGAGACTGCAAGCTCTGCGGTGGAATCTACCGCTGCTGCCGGCAGTAAGGATGCTAAGGCCGAAGAGTACTGATCTCTCCATGTGTGTTGGGTCACTTTTAGCTTCGTATTAGGGCTTTCATATCGAGATTTGTTCGTATTTATCATGGGTTTCTTGTGATGCCTATATACCTAATGACCTACTAAATATTTAAACAATGTTAATTTCGCTATGCGCTTCAATTTTCTGTGGATTATATTATTTGGGTTTCTGTTATAAGTATTGATCTACTGAGTCTTGATCTGCTTTGTTAGGAGATGTTTATGCTTAAGATTTTATAAGGACGTGGGTGTATTTGGAATTGGAAATTTTTCGAAATCTTTCCTCTTTCATTATCTGGGTTTCCTATTGCATAATCTGCTGCACTGGTGAATCTGTGCAAATTCCAGTTTTTTTTTTCATAAAAAAAAAAAAAAAAAAAACCAAGGACTCTTGGATCCAGCCTGAACTGGTCCGTTTTAACCGGGCCGAGTAAGGTCCGGTTCCTATATAAGAAAATGTAATCCCCGACTCGACCCTGCCCGTGCCCACCCCTAGTCATACCCTTTAAAATTTCCCTGTGATCTTACTTTGCATTTTGAAACTAAATTAACGTCATTTTGTCATGTAACTCAACTTTTTTTGTCACTTTGTCAGGTTTCGTGGAAAAATCCGTTAAATCTCCAACCTGGCATAATCTTGACCTATCTATTCCTCCTCTGATTACATGTCATTGTCATGCAAACAACGTAATATCACAAAATAGTTTAATATTTTTGAAATTGTTGTTTGCATTTCAAAAATTGCATTATATAAAAAACAAAAACTCTCTTTCTTCTTTCCCTCCCCCATCGCTGCACATCCGTATACTTTGCCCTTAATCCAAACCACTCATCCACCCCATGGCATTCTGATTACTATGCCAACGACCAAAATCAACCTCTGTAATTTTTTTTGTGTTCTCTCTAGTGGCTCATCTCTACCAACAAGAGCCAAGAGTTTAAAGAAATCCCAAGTCCAAAACGGCATCGTTCCAAACTCGAACCGGCAATCAAAACCGAAAACCCATATTTAAAACTCGAGAATTACTGTGACGTCGAGTTACCAGACGACGACCCCCCGTTTGTCTTCGATGCCCACGTAGTAGTCAAATCATGGAGGATACATTCCAACTTGAAGCCATTTTGGAGATTTGATTCCAAAAATATATCCGCTAAACCAATCATTTAGTGAGCAGAAACTATGAGAATACAATCCAAAATTATCTCCATACACCTTTATAGCTTTCATGATATTCCAGGATAAACATTTGATGGTTGATAAGTACAAGCGGACGCGACCATATATACACAAACCGGCAAACATTAGCATGTCGACAGTTAACAATATGCCTAAAAACTACTAAGTTTACGACACATCATTCATCTAAATACTCTAATTTTCATCAATGCCCGCCCCAAGTGATATTGTCCAATCCCTTTTCCTAACTAGTGAGTTAATACTTACAATCCAAAAGCATCAAAATGTGAACCTTTCAGCCTCTTCATCTTCATCTTCGTCTATACCGTCCTCATCTTCGGTGAACATCTCATCTTCCTCTTCAACTTGATCTTCCTCGTCCTCATCCATCATGGCTTTGCCCCTCTCACCTTTGTCCTTCAAACCAGTGCTCAAGACCACAGTTTCTCCCCCGGACTTCTCCATATCCTTCCTCAACTTCTCCATGTTCTCCTTTCTGTGTTCCTCCTCCAAACGTTGCTTCTCTGCCCGTCTTTTGTCCAGATCAGCCCTACACAAGCAAGAAATTGTGAAAACTAGATCAATTATGCACATCCATATTCCGTGGCACTGTAATATATGGTGAAGAAAAGTTGGTTGTTGAAGTTCAGGCCTTACTTATAGCTGTCCATGTACTCCTCAGCACTAGCTTCAACGGCCTTAAAGAAATCCTTCATTCCAGCACCAGAAACTGCAGAAACTCCAACAGACCGCAAGTTCTTATAGAATTCATCCAGCACAAGGGAGAGGCTCTGAGCTAAATTTGAAGAGTATGAACTATCTGCACTCACTGCTGCTTGAAATGTCTCAAAGTCCTCCATCCACTGCATCAACAGCAGTTTTCAAGAGAACAATACACAAAAACGAAAAGTTATTTCATATTTGATTTCACACTTGAAATCGAGAAAATTTTGATGCTCAAGTTAGTGGAGGTGAAAGTTGAAACAGCTTGGTTATCCACTATGTACATTGAACTACAATTCTATATAAATTTTGATTTTTGTATCATTTCAATCAAACTACTAAAATGTGGACAAATAAGAATTAAAAATGGTATTCCAACTATTGAATCATAATGGGCTCGTTTGGATGTGCTTTTAAAATGACTGAAAGCGCTTTTAGAGAAAATGTTTTTCAGTTCCAAAAGCACTTAAAGTGCTTTCTGCAAGAAGCACCAGTTATGTGCTTCTCCCAGGAAGCACTTTAAGTGCTTTTCCAGAATTTACTTGCATATTTACTAAGGATTGGTTCCAAAAACATTTTCACCAAAAGTGGTTTCAATCATTTTAAATGCACATCCAAATGAGCTCAATAATATGAAACGTGAAATCAGGCTAAATTGTCAAGTAGAATTCTTGACAACAGAACCGGTTGGACAACATCAATTCCACTAGAAAAATAAGTTAAATAACATAAAATAACCTCCACGTTGTGTTGTGTTCTGCTCACTGTTACTCATAGACTTCTCATGGCAGACTGCCCCTATAAACATTTTTTCTCCATTTTTTTACATCAATTTGGTAATTTAAACTTTAAACCTGAGTTTGAGACAGATTCTACTACTAAGCCCTAGCAATATATTCGGGAACCATCTACTGCTAATTTAGCGGGAAACCAACTCCAATTGTGGTTTTCCCTAAAAGCTTCCAGACCCACCAAATTCAAGTATATTCAAAGTGGGTATGTCATTGAAGTGCTTATGTATGGGGGGGACGACCGCCGAATTTACATCAGAAATGGGTGTCGGTCTATGTCAGCATGCTCTGTTGTGCTTGCATTCGCACACATATTACATATATAAAGCATACCTCCAAAGCAAACTGATGTTGAGCCACGTCAATCTTGTTGAATGCCAACACAAGAGGTAACCTTGTCTTGTAAAGGATACTACAAGCATAAAGCATGTTGCTCATAAAAGTAACCGGGCTAGCAGAACGAGGTGTATCTACCACATAAGCAATTACAGTAGGAAACGTTGATGCAAACGCTTCTGTGATGATAGCACCAGAGGCAGACCAAGTGAATATCTCAATCTGACCCGGAGTATCCACAAGAACATAATCAAGCTGATGCGCTCGCTTCTCAATGACTGAAACAACCTGAAATTGGAGATCATGATGATAATTTCATTTTGAATACGTGAGAGAAAGAGAAAGAATGATACAAGCCAAAGCATGAGCTACAAGAACCACTTTAATCAAACGAATAGAACCATTATTCCCAAAAATGCAATCAATGCTTATATGGATGACTTAGATAAAAACAAAATGGCACCAAGTCTCATAGGCAACGTTCTATAGAACAAAATTATTTAAGACAAAGATTCACAGGCAACGTTTTACCTCATCAAACTTGGTAGCAAACAAGTTGAGTGAAGTCAAAATCCCCCCATTTGGTCCAAGATTGAATTGCTTCATCACCTCCTTGTACCGAACGGTATCCCTTATGTCAATATTTGCACCAAACGGTAAAGTCATCACAGCTGGGTCAAGGTTCATCACATAGCCACGAATGTCGGATTCACGAGTGTGTGAAACCAACTGCTGCATAAAGGTTGTTTTACCACTCCCTAATCAAAACACACAACACATTACCATCATTCAACTTCAAGCACTCACAAATAACATAACTATTCATCAAATTCAAAACCGAAATGAATCAGGTAGAACGACCACATTGCTATAATAAACAAAGAAACCCCAATTAAATTCGACGCAATTACCTGCCATGCCCACCACAATTATAATAACAGGTTTTCTCTTGAAATTGGACCCCGACTGCCCTGACGATGATTCCTCAACTTGCAGTTTCTTCATCGAATCAGTAAGTTCCTCATCTTCTTTGCCCTTATTCTTCAGAACAAATCAAACAAATCCCAGCTTAATCCAAAAAAAAAAATACCAACTTAATTCAAACAAGTTAGAACAATGACTCACTACAAAAAATTAAATTAAAAACCCCAAATAAGTTTGTAGTTTTAGGGTTTCTGTGCAGGAATTTAAGAGCACAATAAAAGAAACCCTAGTGCGCGAAAGAGAGAGAGAGAGAGAGAGAGAGAGAGAGAGAGAGAGAGTACCTGAATGGTGGAAGAGTCTTCGGAGTCCATGGGTATCGGCGCGCCACCTCCTTCCTCCTGCGATTTGATGTTAATTTTCTGGAAATCTGAATCGATGTCCATTCCGGCGAAGGGGATTGCTGGGTCCCACCTCTTTCCTTCCTGCGCCGCTGTGGGGTGTGGCGAGAATACGGGGGTTTATGGGAGTGCTGGGTGTGCGAGGAGAATATTTGGAGACGTTTATGGGCTTTTCTATGACACTTGTACACTGCTTGATGAAAAAAGAAAAAAGGCAGTTCTCAAATACTTATTTCGAGAGATTTTCCAGTGTAATCGCCGTATCACATATCATTATATAAATAGTATGATATATGTGTTAAAAATTTAATAATTTAAAAAATATAATTTTCCACCACTTATATAAAAACACGAAGTGTACCACCCGTGTTTCTTTCACAATGAAAATTTTCTCCTTTCTTAGAGCATCTCGCGCTATACGGAGCTGAAAAAATGGTGAATATAACTTAAAGCCTCGAATATCGTGGAAATATCAATACTAAATTAAAAGTGAGAGATATTACGTTTGAATCTCGTAAATGACGAATTTGATACCAAATTAAACTGCTCATTGTGTGGTTTAGTCGAACTCCCCCTCCTCTTAATGTAAAATTATCAATGTACTAAAATAAATAAAAAATAAAAAAACTTAGAGCCTGATTAATTTTTTAGGCTTTAAAATATAATCTCGCTCAATGTAGGGCTATATATCATTCAGACTTTATATGCGGCTATCTATTTATATAATAATTTGATTACGCAGTAATTGTTTTGTGTGCAAACTTCTCTTAAGTTGATTTTTGAAATTGAAAACTTTTTTTTTTGGTTAACTTTTCTTTAGTTGTTTGCTTATGCTTTCAAGTAACTAAATTGTAATACCCTTACAGTTTACGTATGTTGTTTGTTTATGTTTTCGATTTAGGTCTGTAACCTAGGGGTGAGCTCAAAAAACTGAAAAACCGAACAATCGAGTTGAAAAAGAAAAAACAGAACCGAACCAAACCTTATTGGTTTGGTTTCGATTTTGGAGGTTCGGAAACCGAACCGAACTAAATCCCTTTATACTTTATGAATGTATGCCCATGATGTTTCTTTTGTGAAACGTTGTTGCCAGGTTTGAAACTAAGTCCAGGACTTTTTCAAGGAGTATACTTGGTTCCATTAGGGAGAATATTTCGTTGGTTATAGAGAAAAGTTTTGGAAGGCTTTGGAACTTGGAAGAGTATCTCCTATTTGTTTGCTTTTTGAATGGATACGATGATCATTTTTCTTTTAATTGAGGTTGTTGGTATAACTTGACCTTCCCACTTTCCCAATTTTCTTATTATTAGTCTACCAATGCAAGTCTCTTTTCTAAATTCCATATTAAAGAAAAATTAAGTTTTATAAAATAAAAAAGCCAAAACCGAACCAAACAAAATCAAACTGAAAAAAAAACGGAACCCAAAAAAAGGGAAAGAAAATTGAACCGATTCAGTTTGATTTTGTTCGGTATGGTTTCGGCAAAAAACCAAACCGAATGAAACCAAACTCACCCCTACTATATTCTACCAATGTCATTTCAATATATAGGGTGTTTTTAATTTTGAAATTAATAAAAGTAAGCTCTTTTAGACCATATCCAACATTTGGGTTAAAACCTAAAATTTTTAACCCAAAAAATTTAGGTTCTAACCCAGAAACAGTTTCTCTCATCAAACCATTATGAGTTAAATTTTTAGCCTGAAATTATTAAAGAATGAATTTAGGATAATTTTTTTTTCTTAAAGTAATTTTTTTTATAAAAAAAAATTATGTAGACTGTCCTAATTTAATTTTATAAACATTTTAACCTAAAAATATTTAGATTCCGATAAATATTAAAAAATCACTAAACCAACACCATGAAACTCGTGGGACACTACAAAAGAATATCAAACAAATAAAATAAAAAAAAGTTCAATTACTTTAGCTGTTGGATTTAAATTTGGACCGTTAGATATATTTTTGGGTTAATCTCAGTTTACTACTTTGAAATTTTTTAGTTTTCAACATTTGGTACATGGAGTTTTTTTCATCCCAGAGTGGTACCTAAAGTCATAATTTTGGGACACTTTCATACATCCGTCAAAGTTGCTATTAAATCAGTTGTTAACTAGTGACATGGCATCCACGTAGATAATGACTGGATGCCACATGTCAATATGCATCCACATGGATATTAAAAATATTAAAAAATAGAGTAAATTGTAGCAATGGTCCGTCAACTTTAATTAAATTGTAGCAATGGTCCCTCAACTAAAAATCAACTACCATAGCTGGACGTTTTGATAAGTTAAGGGACCAATGGTAATGCAATTTTAGTTGATGGACCATTGCTCCAATTGAGTTAAAGTTAAGGGATGAATGCTACAATTTACTCTAAAAAAAATAATAATAATATGGGCTATATCCCATCCCTCACCCACACTACCTTCTTCATCCCTGATACCTACCCCGACACTCCATCCCTTTTCTCTTTTGCACTTACCCCTTTCATCCTCTCCTTTCTCTCTTATGCATCCACCCTCTCCCTCCTCGACTCCCCGCATCACTAACGAGAAGATTATATCCCTCCCCTCCTTTCTTTATGTCTCTCTTCCTTTTTATTGACTTCCCTTCCACTTCTTTCCAATTTGCTACCGCCACTGCCGCCCACTGCCGCCCTAATGGATCCCTCGTTCCCAAATAGAGCCTAGAATTTCCAATTTCCAATTTCAAATTTTGAAGAATCCTAGGGGTTTGGAAATTGGATTTCTCCAAAATTTCAAGGGTTTCCATTTCAATTTGTGTTGAAATTTCTTAATTTGGTGGTGATTTAGAGATTATTGAATATGCATAAATTGAAGAATTTATGGGAGGTTGTGGATTTGGATGAGAAATGAGGTTGATTGTGTATGTGTTTGTGCTAGAATGGACTTCGGGCTCGTCGCTTGGACTAGTGCAAATATGGATGAGAGACGACCTATTTTGCCGCAGATTTGTACTGTAGGGAAGATGACGGGAGGGAGAGCAAGGGAGGAAGATGCCTTTGTAATTTTTAAAATTTTAAAATTTTATTATTTATTAATTTTTAATAATCACGTGGGCCTCATATTGACATGTGGCGTCCAGTTATTGTCCACATGGATGTCACGTCATCGGTTAACAGAGATTCTGACAGAAAAGCCAACGGATGGATGAAAGTGTCCCAAAATTATGACTTTAGGTACTACTCAGGGATGAAAAAAACTTCATGTATTAAATGTTAAAAATCGAGAAACTTCAGGGTAGTAAACTGAAATTAACCCTATATTTTTTTTTTACCATTGGATTTGATCAAATTATATCTTAGCCGTTGGATTTAATAAATTTATAAATATAAAACTAAAAAAAAATACACATATATAGTGGCCCAGGCCCACTAATCCATGGGGAATCATGGGCTAAGTTTGCCCCATTATGTTTTAATTCATATTTGCTCCAAGGGTTTAAGCAAGTTGGGGTAAGTTTAAAACCTAAAATTTGAGTTTTACTCCAAATGTTAGAATAGGTCTCAATAAAATAGCTTATATTATTTTATGTCTTAAATATTAAATATACAAACAAAATGGGAGACAAAGAAACTCAACGAGAATCACTGCTATATAAACTTGACTTGGCGAGATGATGAGCCACTCCATTACAATTCCACTAAATATACGAAATATTGCACTCTTATAACTTGAAAAACAGCTTCTTAATATCAGAAGCAACAAACTCGAGACTTGAAAAATCCTTTGTCCTTCCATTGTAGGCAGCCACAACCTCCAAACAGTCAGATTCCACTTGTAACCGATTGCATCCAACATTCCTTAAGCCTGCTCAAATTGCAAATAGCTCCACTGGAAATCTCCACTAGCCTGGCAATTGTTGCAGTTATGCTACTAAGGTCATGGAAAACTTTGTTCTTATCGGTAAGTGGGGATTTGCCAGAAAATTCCTTTTCACATGCTTCAGCTGCACCGGCAGCATCGTTCATGCCTTGCTCTGCAAACTTAGGGTTACCCAACTTAAAACCTTGACTAGCTTCTGGGATATCAGCCACCAGAATTGTATGGTAAAAGGTAGCACAAGATTTTAAAGTTTGGTCACTGGGGCTCTGCTTAAGCAGCTCGTTGATTCTGTTCGCGGTGTCAGTTGCTTTAGCCTTGGCCATGTCAACTGTGATGAACCCTAAGCCGGCCATATCCGCTTTCGTGCTTCGAGGGTTCGATTTGAGAGAAGAGACCCAGAGATTGTAGTTTGGTGTTTTTTTACAGGTTTGGTCGTTAGATTAGCATCCATTGGAAAGATCACAGCCCTACTGCAATGGCTTAAGGGAAGAAAGATTAGAACTAGACAAGCTAGTTGGATGAGCCATGTTGAGTACCTCATTTTCGCAAGACAAAAATTGGTTTAAGAAGTTTGTTGTTGCTTATGTAAGAGTTGATGACGTTGAGAAATTGAATGGTGTGTGTGACCTCAATTTGGATGCTTATCTCTAACTAGGCCTGTTTGATTCGCGTGAAGGAATTGATGGGAAATTAAGTGCAAAATTTGGTTAGTCATGTAAATGGCACCCCATTAAAACAACTAATTGTGAATGAATATACATTAGAGTTGTCGTGTATGCATAATTATTCATCTTTGAATTTGATAATATTAATAGCGCATTCATTTATTTTTCATTTCTAATATAAATTTAATGGTAGGTAACAATGATTTGTGTAAAACAAGAATATAAGACACAAATGTATACTGCAACTTTTCCTTTTAGGATAATTTACCCTAAAAAAGTTTGGAAGCTTTGTAATAACATGTATCCACCCGCCTCCATTACCAATATGAATGATTGGTTGATGAGGATGTCAGCTTTAGATAATGATGATCTTTTTTATCTTAGTAAAATTCTAATTATTTGTGGCAAATGTGGAATGACACAAATAATTTTATTTTTAAACATATTAAACCTCATCCAACTTGTTGTTTGATGACAACAACTACAATTGGTAAAGAGTTCTAGAAGGCTAATTTGAAACAGAAACCAAGGAAGACTAAGATATCAAGCAACACCATTAGTAGGAAAGCACATGCTGAAGACTTTTATAAGCTTAATTTTGATGGGTCGGTCGATGACACTTCTGCTGCTGCGGGTTTTATAATCAGAAATTATCAAAGGCAACCTTTTCTCGTGTGCTTGGTAGCTTGGACCAAACACTATCACCATGGCTAAAGCTCAGGCTCTCTGGGATGCTTTGGCTTTGGCCAAACAACGTCAAATCAGAAAAATTGTGGTGGAAGGGGACTGGAAAGTTGTCATTGATGCAGTTTTTTGGAAAAGTGTGCAGTTCCATGGGGAATTAGCTTCATTGTTGATGACATTAAATGGCTTGCCTTATCATTCGAGCTGGTAGAATGAAATAATGTCTACATGGAAGCAAACTTCACAAGGGACGCCATCAATTCCCTTCGGCATAATTGTACAAATTTATATATTTGGGATGGGTGTGTTCCTACCCAAGCAAAAAAAGCTCTCTTGTATGATTCTTGAGGCCTTAGGGGTCTCCAAGGTTTCTCTTTATTTTAATATTCTTTCTTCCTAAAAAAAAAAAAGCCATGTGATGTGCACATTACAACAAATTATCATAAATAATGTAGTCCAAATTCGTCTTTGGTGAGAATCGAACCTAAGATATTTCACTTACAAATAAAGATAAATACTACTAGACCGTAGTACTAAGTGCCGAAACGTTGCACACTATTTAGTTACCTACAAAATTAACCGCGGAAAAATCAATCGGCCTAGTCTGAAGATTTTCACTGGCCGCGTAATGTAACAAAAGCCCATGGGAAGCCTGCCATTGCGGCCCAATCCTACCCGCGCAAGTCCCGATTGGATCCTATAAAACTGAAGTCGGATCCGTTGTGATTGCTCATGACGGTCTGACCCGAACCGACCCGATTGGAACGCGTCGAGTCTCGACGCAGCAAACAGCAGATGGATAATCTGTGCTTCCCTCTGAGTTTTACTCATTACACTCTCACAACGAAAGGACTTCACTTTGTCTTTAATCTCCAAGTCTTTCTCTTCCGAAATTCAAGCTCCAGTCTTGGCGCTAGGGTTAGGGTTAGGGTTAGGGCACGCAGAACTTCGTAAAGCTGGATAGGTACAGAGTAGACCGCTATGGCGACAACGACGACGGCGACCACCACCACCACCAGGACTCGGTCCCCTACCGTCGACCCTCTCGCTTCTCCGACGCGCCCATGAACCACCAGAGCCACCACACTCGCCGCAGCCCTCCTAACTATCGCGGCGGAGGAGGTCGTGGTAGTGGTGGTCCACACCGTGGCTTCGACACCCCGCCTCGCGACTCTTCCGGTGGGTTCCGGTCATTTGGGGGCGCCGGCGCCGGCGGTGGAGGGTTTGGCCCGAACTACCAGGACCCACCTCCGCTATCGGGTCAGAAACGAGGTTTTACTCGTGGAGGTTCTCCAGGTGCGTTGTTCTGATTTTCTTTAATTTTCTTTAATTGGGATTTCACGTTGCAGTTTTCAAGCCTCAGAGCACATTAGAAGTTGGTGAAAAATGAAATTTATTTGCTGCAGCTTTGATGAATTTTGTTGCATTTATGTTGTGTTTTGCTTAGAGGTCGCACTTGGTGCGATGGCAAGTGCCTTCGCCCATGAGCGGTAGGTCTCGGGTTCGAGACTTGGGAGCAGCCTCTCCATAAATGGGGTAAGGCGAGCCGACATTCACCTCTCCCAGACCCTGCGTAAAGCGGGAGCCTTGTGCACTGGGTACGACCTATGTTGTGTTTTGCTTGAGCTAAGTTTATTAAGCAGTTTCAATGTACTTAACTCGTGGGAAGATAGATTGTAATGTTAGTCAATAGCAATTAATGTTTGATTTTTGCCCTAAAATCTTGCTCAAGTAGCTAAAAGGCTGTATCTTTTGGTTTTGTTTATGCTGTAGTTACTTTCTGCGTTGCTCATGAGTTTGAATATCTTTCAGATCGTTTCGATAGAGGCAGCTTTGCCAAACTATTTATTGGATCAGTTCCTAGGACAGCCACCGAGGAAGATGTAAGTTAGCCTAATTATTACTGTACCAAAATGCCCGATATATGTTGTTGTTGGACTTTTCCGTATGTATGAAATGGTGCTATGTTTAAATTGAAACGTTTACACCATGGTGTTTATGCATGTTGGTTTTATACGATGTCAGATTCGTCCTGTGTTTGAAGAACATGGAGAAGTGATAGAGGTTGCTCTGATCAAAGATAAGAAAACAGGACAGCAGCAAGGTACGTGTGTGCGTAATTTTTATATAATTGTTATCAGGAATATCTTATTTCAGGTAATCTGAGAGGCAGATGGGAGCATGCCAAAGCTCACCTTATCTCACTTTGTTTTCGCAACAAGTTTCACACTTGTTGGTTTTGCTTGCAACCTTTTATTCATGTCCGTCCTCTCAAAGAAGAAGAAGGCAAGACATGTAAACCAACTAAAAACCAGTTTTCGAATAGCTGTTGGGATCTTGGAAGACACTTAGGTCATGCGCTTCTGATAGTGGCTGCAGCACCGGTGGCATTACCTAACAAATTATTTGTAATGGGAGTGTCTGTTGCCATAGCTGTTGCTTGTTTATGTTAGGATGTTTAGAAGTGCAACTGTTGTACAGAAAATTGACTCAGAACATACATGGTTTATTGCTTTTGACTAGTATTAATCATAATGTAATTTGGAGGATTTCTTTGGTTTATTCTTATCTTGGTGAACGCGGGAGTGCTTTGTGTGAATGACTTGGAATGTCATGTATCACTTTATGAGATTGACAGGATGTGATGGATGTGAAGTTGGATGTTCTGGAAGAGATGGATGATTATTGGATGGATTGTGTGAGTTTATTGGTTTTACATCTTTCACTATCTAAGTTTCAGCGTGTTTTCATGTGTGCACATGGGGATGGATATTTCAATATGGTGGTTTTATGCCCCCCTATTTGTACACATTTTAAGATGTCAATATGTGGCAGAACTAGATTTATTTATTTGTTTATTCCTGGTACGGTCTCATGATGGTTGTATGCATGGCTAATACCTCCTTTTGGAGCATGAGATCCGATTTGCATTTGGATGTGTTAGTTGAAACTTAGTTGTCTCTTTATGATGCTGATGTGCCACCATAAGGAAAATGTGGTTGTGTGTTGTTACCTTATTTGAAGTTGGTACTCTTGAGTAGGTCTCATGTGGCTCATGTTTTGAGTAGTGTTGACTTAGCAAGACACTTTCAGCACCGGACTGATGTTTATTCTTGTAAGGTTATGTGTGGTTGAGGTTTGTAATATTTCTAGGGCAAGTATTTTGTTTGGCCTTGTGGATTTTTATATTAGTTTTATCTGTCCTTGTAGTAAATTTACTTTGTAGAATTGAGGGATCTTATTGTGTAGTGCAACTGAGTTTTCTGGTTATGGAATTCCATCTCTAGTTAGGGATTTCCAACTTTAGAACTGATCTTGTTCCCACTCCCAAGTGAAAGGAGGCGCTGAGCAAGTATTGCCTTTGTTTTGTATCTTCATAAATTAGTATTCTCTATAATTTCCTTATAGTCTTTTATTGAAACTTACCTCCCCTGTGAATGCATGAAAGCGTTGGAAAAACAACTCTGAAGGTTTGGTATAGGAATATTGCGTCAAATCTTCTACACTTTCTGATGCTGTGTATATCTTGAGTTTGTAGTTTTCCATTTCTGTTTGTGGGTGAATGTATGAGTTTTTTTTGAGTTGCGAATTTCGGCCATCAATCTGGCTGATTTTTTTTGTTTATCATATCCATGTGGTTCTGAGTGTCAAGACTTGCATTGGGCAATACAATCTCATTCGTCGACTTGTTGGTAATGTGAAAGTTCATCATATATTTGGTGAAGTTAGTGAGGCAATGGTAGACTTCTGATTTATGTCTTTGGTTATGGTGTAGCTGAACAGTCTTTCTCTGGGATTGGTTGTATCGTAGGATACAGTTGTTAATGGCAGAAAATGAGTTACTTTTTCTTTCAATTATTGGTTTGCTTGAATGATCTTGTCATCCCTTATTGTGCTGAGGTTTATCACCTACAATATTAGTATATAGAGGACTCTTGGCTTGTCTAGAGATTTGACTGGTAGTGTGACGTGGGAGGTGGAACTTAATCCAAGTTTTCACATCCAGAATCATAGTAACAAGGGCATACTCAAATAGTTCTCACGCAAAGCTTGTATAATTTCCTTGGTTTGGCTTCTGAAGATTGTATTTGTGGCCTCCAAATTCCCCAATCGATGCTTCATAATTGTTGGTACACTCATGAACTGGCATGGTATGAACATGTGCATATATTCGTTCCAGACTTGTTATTGATTGTTCTAAACTATTCCTATGGAGAGTTCCTCAGGTCTGATTCTTCCTGGACATTGCTTTGATAATGTCTGCTAGTTCATTGTAAACTAAGCAGGGGACTTTGTATTGGCAGATAGTTTACGGTGTACTAAGCAGGGGCCTTTACATACTTGTTTGTAATGACTAAATAGGATGTTGAATAAGCAGTGATATTTATCATATAGGACGCTCTTCTGAAATCAACTTTTCGTTTAAATCTGACTGGTGTGTCAGATGAAAGATCTTACTTTTGAGACAGCCAATCTGGCGTGAGATGGCTTGTGTGGTGGCTGTTTTATCAGGATATTCCTTTCGAGGATGCTTTCTGATGTAAAATGCTTGGGATTTGATATTCATCCATATCTGGATTTACAAAACTTTTGATGAATGGTGTATTTTGATGGTATATGAATGTTACTTTGATGTTTAATTTTGTGATTTATTCCAATTAGAGGACAATCCTGAAATCAAGTTTGCATTGTTGTCCTTTTATTTTTTGATGTTATAGTTTCTTTTGGCTCTTCAAGCTTCCCACCATTATGAGCCAAATTTGGTACATGAGAAGCATATTGAAAAAATCTGATGGATGAAGCTTTTTTTTTTTTTTTTAATGCACTTGTTCTACCTAGCTAAGGACCTCTGGGTTTAATGATTGTGCCCCGTGTGAATGAGCCATTAATATTATTAAGATAACAATCTTGTTTGAAGCTGTAGTATTGATAACTTATGTTATTTGGAAAGAAAGGGTTTGACAAATACCTTTCTTTTATACCGATATGATCTTGAAACGCCACAACCATGGATTGTTTACGTGTTTTGGGTTGTTCCTAGATGTGTGGTTTAAGGTTATGGGTTCTCATACCGTTTTTCTAGCCAATGCTCTCCCTCTTGCTTGTACATGCACTAAGGAATATGATGTGCGTGATATATCATTTATATTTTTAGTTGTTTCTTTTGAAATGATAGTTTGACTAGCTTATTAGCTTGTGAATACAAGGTTCCATGTGTGTGTTTTTAAAATTTTTCAATGGGAATTTTATTATGGATATCGACCTAGCTACCAATCTTTGGCTTTTTTACAAGGGTATAAGTTGCACATGCAGGTTGTTGTTTTATAAAATATGCAACCTCAGAAGAAGCTGGTAGGGCAATTAGAGCTTTGCATAATCAACATACTCTTCCTGGGGTAAGTTTGTTTTACCGTTTGATTTTCAATCGTCTTGTAACTAATTTATGGTTGTTCCGCACTCTTGTTACTCCAGGGAACGGGTCCTATCCAAGTCAGATATGCCGATGGTGAACGAGAACGCCTTGGTAATTGTCATCTCAGCATGAATGTTTGATTGTTCCATTTTATGTGCAAATTGTATCATGAAATGTGTATAGCCTTTTTAGACACACTTTCCCAAATATTAGATACAGTGCTGGGTCATATCTTGGCTTGAGTTGGAGCCACTTCTTAGAGGACATGATAAGTGAGAAGGAACCTCTTTCAACATAACAGTAATCTTGTGCTTGATTTTTCTTGATCTCTTAAGCCCTTACTAACCTATGAGTGGTCCTCAACCAATTATGCTGTTACCTTTGGTTTTATATTTTTTCATCAAGACCATAGTGTGAATGAGGTGGTATCCATGGGGGAACTTTTGTATATCCTCTGTATTTGCACACACATATCTAATTAATTTATAGTTTTTCCCTTGTTGATGTCAACCCTTTTTTGATGGCAGGTGCGGTTGAGTACAAATTATTTGTGGGATCACTGAACAAACAAGCTACGGAAAAGGAAGTTGAGGAAGTATGTTGTACACCAATATCTGTTATCTTCTAGCATTATTATTTTCCAGTCTTCTTTTCTCATCTTGAAACAAATTAGATCTTCTCTTTATTTTAGAACCACAATCCTATTTTTCCTTTATAGACATGTCCATTTCTAATTCAGAGGAGATTTATATACTCTCAACTTAAAGCAAAAGAATCTTAACTTCAGTTTATTTTAGTAGAGTAAATGTTACAGTTGGAAGTTATAAATGCAGCTGGAAAAAGAAAGAAACCAATTGCTGTTTTCTGTTTGCAGATTTTTTCACCATTTGGTCAGGTTGAAGATGTTTACCTCATGCGTGATGAATTGAAGCAGAGTCGTGGTGTGTTTATTAGTCATATTTAAAATTTCAAATATAAGGATAGCACTTTATATGAGATTTATGCATTCTTTGAACTGTTCATGTTTAGGATGTGGATTTGTAAAGTACTCCCAGAGAGATATGGCATTGGCAGCTATAAATGGTCTTAATGGGATATATACAATGAGAGTGAGTGTTTTCTTGTCTTTTTCTTTGGAATTACTTTAGTATAATACCGTGTTATTAAATGCTTTCCTATTATATCACACATATTTCTATTCCTGCACCTCAGGGTTGTGATCAACCACTAACTGTCCGGTTTGCTGATCCTAAAAGGCCTAGGCTTGGAGATTCAAGGTTTCTTCCTCTTTGTTTTTCTTAGACGTGCCTTGAGGCTTCTCTATATTTTTTTGGCCACTGGTTAAATCTTCTTGAAGTATAAACTTTGATCTTATTGTTTGTTGGAGTGATTTAATTGATTCTTTTTTATATTTAGCAATGTGCAGATATCAATTTTTGTAACGGATTCCTAGATGCTTCTGACATTGTTCTTGTTTAGGGGTCCTGCATTTGGGGGTCCAGGTTTTGGTCCTCGATTTCAAGCCCCAGGGCCCAGGTAATCCCCACAGTCATCTGAATACTGTTGTGAAGTTTTTTGTGTGCATTCTCTTTGTTGTAGCCATTTGCATTCTTTGTTTCTAACTTACTCCAAACAGACCAATGCCTAACTTTGGCGATCCTATGCGCGATCAAATTCCAACTAATACTTGGCATCCAATGAGTCCACCAAACTTAGGATCATCCACCAATCCTGGTAGTCGTGGCTTTGGGGGCAATTTGCTTCCTTGGTCTGGAGACATGCCGTTTCCCTTGAATTCAGTAAGAATAATTCAATGATTTTGCAACATTGCTCCTCTAAGAAATGTCCCTTTTCTTGTGTTCACGTAAGACATCCAGGGAAGGCATACAGATGCCTTAAGTAACGCATCTGTAGTGATTCTTGATTGGATGGTATTACCGTAACCTTTTCATACCATCTGCAGCTGAAGATGAAAGGGTGGCTGCTGGGGCGTTGTGATTTTATTGTTTATATTCATGATCTATATGATGCTAGTTTCTTATTAGAGTTTTTTGTTTTAAGTGTGCTTAATGCCTTTAAAAATCTAATTATTTGCTCCTCGAATTTTTAGGGTGGCCATGGCGGCTCTGCAGAGGGTCCTCTTCCTGGAATGGCTGTTTCGTCTTCTTTAACATCACAAAAGGTACAAGGTGTTAGAACTTTATTTTAATCTACGTGGTAGTCTAAAGTCGAAATAATTATTTCTTATTTACCCGTATTTCAGTGTGGTTTGATTGGATCTGTTTCAGAGTTTTAACCAGTCTATGCCACATGTTGGCCAGCAAATATCTCCATTACAGAAGCATATTCAGTCACCTCAGCATTTGCCACCACCCCTCCAACAGCACCGTCAAACTTCGGCATCATACACACAAACACAAACAGTACGGCAGCTTGGTCAGGCTCAACTTCCTCATTCTGCTGGTCAAACACCGTTTAGTCAAGCATTACCGTCACAACAGTTTCTTGGCTCGGGTGGACAGTTGTCTGTTCCTCAGCCTGAGGCTCAGAAGAATGCGCCTTCTGCTACAGCACTACCAGCCCCTTTGAATATCAGCTTACAACCTCGGCCCATGCCCACTGCATCAAATCAACAGCAGCCTGGTTCTGCTCCTGCTCAGCAACAACTGATTCAGCCTCTTCAGCAGTCACCCTCTCCGTTAGCTCAGATGCTGTCGCAACAGACACAAACTCTGCAAGCAAGCTTTCAATCATCTCAGCAGGCGTTCTCCCAGCTCCAACAACAGCTGCAGCAAATGCAACCTTCAAATCAGGGGTTGGCAATGCATCAGAATCCCCAGGCTAACAAACAGCAACAGGTATTTGAAAATTAGTCAATTGTTGTCTTGTAGGAGTATGTGGTAATTGGATGTGCCAGATGCGCTACCATGAGGATTGTAAATTTAGTTGCTTAAATGGATTGATTGCACAACTTGTGGCTATAGAACTGTAGAACAATGCTGTTTTGATTGCCAAAATATGGCTAAAGCTAGGTCGTCACCTGTAAGTGGTGCGATGTGTGGCCCGAGCATAGTGATAAGTGAGCAAGGGTCGCTGTATCTCCATTGGCACCTGAATGCAGTGTTAAATGAGCAAGGGGGCTGTAGAAACTTATTTTTGAATGACTTTACTCAAAGTTGTTTGGAAGCATCTGCTCACATCAACAAGAGAGTGGAATACACTTAGGAACGTGGAATATAGGAACCTTAACTGAAAAATCTATGGAAGTAGAGGTTCATTTTTTTGCCACTTTGTTTTTTATTCGTTTGTATCTGTAACTGTGGTTAGCAAGCTGTGCTTTTTAGCTTCTGCATACATTTGCCCCACAAGTATATGTTGGTTGCCTGTCAACCGGATAATCATTTTGACCTGCCTGCTGCTGATTTTATAATACCATTCGTATATCTCAGAGTTTGAAGTTTAAGCCCTATACGATCTTTGCATTTGGCTGGTTGCCTGTCAACCGGATAAAATTGTCTGTGATGCTCTATTGCTTCTTCTAGTTGTCTTAACCAACTCCAACCTTGGAAGCTGAACATTATATTTGTTCCTGCAGTCTCAGTGGATTGGGGTTGCATCGCATACAGTTGCCAGCACTACTGCTTCCACACCGGCGGTGGATGTGCTTTCAACCGCATCTGTTGCTCCAGCTATTCCCGGATCCCAGGCTATAGCTCCTGCAAAATGTGTTTGGACAGAGCACACCTCCCCAGATGGATACAAGTACTATTATAATAATGCAACTGGTGAAAGCAGGGTAAGGATTTTGTCACTCAGATTCCCTCTTTTCGGGCTTTTGACTTCAATTAATGCTGCTCATGTGACTTGTAGTGGGAGAAACCTGCCGAACTTACATTGTTTGAGCAACAGCAGCAACAAAAGGCGCCAGTTCAGCAGCCTCATGTCCCATCGCTCCCTCCAAATCGGTCTGCACAGCAAATTTCTCAAACGCAACAGCTGCATCATCAATCTCAGCTTCAACCACAGCTCCGGACTAACTTGCAGTTACAACAGCCCTCATTTTCTTCATCGGTCAGTGTTTCCCCATGGTTTCTCAAATGTTGAAGATTTGATTGTGATTACTAACTCATTACTTTGAATTCCAGTATCAGGCCTCTGGAATTATAGGTCACCAAAATGTTCAGGTAAATTTCGCACCTACTATTACCCAAATAATTCACATTCGCAAGAAAAATAAAAATATAGAGTTTTCCCTAAACAGTCCATTTTTTAATTGGTTCTTTTCATCATTTGTATCTCCAGGAAGGAAGTTATTCACAATTATCCACTCCTAGTTCAGTCGGTGATCCTTCACGCTACCAACAGGTATTCGGTTTTTAAATCCAGGTGCTCAGTGTATTTTAAGCATCACAAATTAACTTTAGTTCTCTGTTTCTGCCAAGGGGCTTCAGGCTGCTCAGGAGTGGATGTGGAAGAATAAACCAACAGGTTCTAATCAATTATTTTCGTTCAAATTCTGATGTCAGTTTGGGTTTTACTAGCCGACCTAGCAAGATAATGGACTCGTAACGGTTAAATTGGAAAATTCCTAGAAAGGGCTAGGTTTATTGTGTCTATTTAGAATGAGAAGAAATGTCAAATGTTCCTTCATGGCTGGTCTTGTGCATGGTCACAAACTGACACTCAGATTCGGTTCTTATGCGCTGAGCATTTGTCTCCTGTTTTAACCCCTTTCTAAATTGGTGAACATATTTTCGATCTCCAGGGGCTTGAAGTGGTCAAGCAGAATGTAAGGTGGCACGTCGTCAGCAAAAGAATTGATGCTTGGAGGAAGCCGAGCGATAGCATAATTGTATGAATTTTGATCACGATGCAGCCAAGGGTCCTTGTTAGAGCTTGAAAATGTTGAGTAGGATGTGTGTAGTGTAGTGGAAACGTTCTTCGGCCCTTCAGTTCCATTTTTGTGAGCCTTTTTTTTACTGTTTACAGTTACTGGCTCACTGAATTGAACGTGTACCGTTAGCCTAAAATCGAGTTGTAGGATATAATTGTAAAACATAGAAATCCGATAATTATCAGATAAACATTAGTTTAGCTTGTACTTAAACCCAAAAAATAAAATATTTGGTAGATAATATGTCATTAGCTTTGCCATAATTAGCATTACAAAGCTAACTAATTGAGCCTTCCACTGTAGGAAAGTGGTTTACCACTTTAGGCTAAGAGGTCAATTGACACTTCGGCAAATTCCTACGAATCTCTCCGTTCATCCCAGTAACTACTCCCAAGCTTCCACTCTTCCCATTTTTACCATAGAATCTTTGAAGTCTCCGAAGAAGGCGGACGGGTCTTGTGCGTAGGTTTCTACCAGTTCACGCGTTTGATCATCTCTGGTCGTGATATTCTGGTCGGAAAGCAGCAAACCCTCCCCGGAGAGAAGGTTAAGATAGTACTGGTCGTCAAATGTTGCTGGGGTTGCAAGGTCAAGGTTTGCCAGCGTGTTGATGTCGGATTCTGAGCACAGCTGCCGCAGCAACTGAATGTATTCAAGAGCCGTGGTGGAGCCTTGTAGGCGGGCGGTGAAGGTGGTGCAGCGGGCTTTTCCCATCGTATGTGCACCTGCGGCAAACAGAGGAAAATTTCGGTCTTATTTTTTCACTCAGATGAAGCACAATACAAACAAACAATCAATTGAAGCAAGTTGAGAGTACCAGAGAGTGCAACCATGTCCTTCAAGGCTTCAAGCAAAGGTTTACATTGCGGAACTTGGAAAGCAGTTGTGCAACAGTAGAATTTGGGCCTGTATGTTGTTATTTGCTAACGATTGGCTAGCAGTGAAGCTGCCCTTCCTTCCCATTTGACCATCCTAGCTAGGTCAACCAGACTGCAGGTTCAAACTCAAATTTTTAGTCGAAACTCGAAGGTAGTATATCTAGGCTTCCTGAATAGTCTTCCAGTTGCATTGAAACATGAAATATGTAGCTCTTAGCGCACACACCACAACGATGGAGTCTCGGACAGCAACTGCAACAACGTCAAACTGTTTGAGGGCAAACAAGTTCAAGATCCTGTTTTATCGCATCAATCGCTTCAAAACCCCTCAGAGTTAAAGTTAGGCGCTGCTGTTTTTTCACCAACAATGTTCTCATTGTCATCTAGCAATGCTGAAGCATCGCAGCCCTGCACAATTCACATCATTTAAAAAAAAAAAAAAAATATATATATATATATATATAGCAATATGATAATGTATAAAATAGTGGAAACAAGAAAACATGCATTAGCAAAGCAGTCGTGGAAATGGAGACGAAGCAGAGAGGCTGGCATTCTTGGGTCTTCAAACACATCGGGTCTGACCCCAGCAGCTGCATATATTATGGCCTCTGCTTCCGGGCATCTATTGTTGTACACATCATTTCCCAAGAGGTCACCACAATCCTCATCTCCATATCCTCCTCCTCCTCCTCCTCCCATGGTTTTCAGCATGATTGCAAGAACAATCGCAACGTTGAGAATAGTGAAAAGAGAGCCAACTTCGTGGCCATATTGTGTTCTAGCTGTTCTCTATTCTCTCAGTACTTTAGGGTGTGTGAAAAGGGGAGTTAGGGTGGTAGAAGTTTCTGTATGATAAAGAAGTTGAATGGGAGGGGTTTAGTAACATCTAGCAGAGATTTGGTCACTGAGGTTTGGTGTTTGAGTCTGTGAAAGAGGTCTGAAGGGTAAAATGGGTACGGACTATTATCGGTTGTTTAAGTGTAAAGATTTTGTTGATGCACAAAATCAGTGGGGACTTTGGTACAACAGAAAATGTTAAGTTTGTGACCTTCGCTAGATTGCTCCGGTCACTAGTGTGGATAAGTATGTAAATGGATAGAGACAGGGAAGCAAACACAAGATGTACGTGGTTCACCTAGATTGGCTACGTTCACGGAGTAGAGGAGTTCTCATTAATTGTGAAGGGTTTACACAAGTACATAGGTTCAAGCTCTCCTTTAGTGAGTACAAGTGAATGATTTAGTACAAATGACTTTCGAAAATATTGTGAGAGAATGATCTCTATTTATAGAAGAGAGTTTCTAGTTTCATTCTGACATTGACACGTGTCGTGTAGTGATTGACTTCTGATGTTGACACGTGTTGTGCTATGATTGGCTTCTGATGTCGACATGTGTCCCGTTGTGATTGGCCTCCTGGTTGGAGGGAAACTCTTCTGGGTCCTTGACGGTATAACGTTGATTGGTGCTCAGTAGTTTCGGGATTGGTCAAGTATGGTACAAACAGTGCTCCCCTAAGTTCCAGAGTGAGGGAAGCTCCTCAGTTGGGGACTTGCAAGATCCAAGCCATTGAGTAATCACGAAACTTCTAAGTACCGAAATGTGATATCATTTTCATTTGCCTTATCTGTCTCATATGTAGATGTGACATCTTCTCTGGAAGTACTTTTCCTCCATTCAGGGGTGGTATCTTTAACCGATGAAGATGCACAAGGTAATGTATCAATTTCACTTGAAGCTTACTTGTAGTTTCGGGCTTGATCAAGTGCGATACAAACCCTATAGTAAAAGTCCCCCAAGTCGCCGAGCTAGGAGATTTACCGAAGGAGGTAACAGACAAGGTAAACAATCAAACTTCCAAGCAAGCAACTTGGATCAGAGGTTCGACTTCGGCTTCCGGTTGATTGTTCTCCTTCTCCTTGTGTCGTAAACAACAACAAGGATAAGGAGAAGCAAATGGAGAAGAGATGATATGAGATACTTTTGCTTTTGAAGAAGTAACTTTCCACAGGCTTATTCTTGAACTGGGCTGGAGGGTTTTCTGGTTTCCTCCAGAGTATAAGGCCGACTCAAGAATCTGAGGGTTAAAACAAGTCCTTCAAATATAGAGTACGTTCGACCCTGATAATATGGGATACTTTTACTGTTGACAAAGTAGTGGATGTATCGACATGTGTTCTATTACGCTTGTCTCCACATCCTTCCTTGTATCCTTCTCACTTGCCCTATCTGTTCCTCAGGCAGATGTGGTATCTTCTCTGAAAGCATAAGATGTTAAAGATGAGTACTCGAGAGCAATGCCAGGTAAGTAATCAGGCAATGGGTTCCAGGTAGTCAGTTCCAGGTAGTCAGTTCCTGACTGGAAGCTTGATTTCAAGTGCTGACTGATTGCTCTCTTTCTCATTGTCTTGCAGGTAAGAACAAGGCCAAAGGAAAAGACATGGAAAAAGCATGATATGGGATACTCTTGCTTTTAACCCTGATGATATGAGATACTCTTACTCTGATATGGCTTGTTTGCAGAGGTATTATCGGGAGGAAAAGAAGCTGAGTATTTCGAGAGACTCTGCTGAGAGTGCCCTCTCGGATGTGAAGAAAAGTTGAGCATTTTTTTTATTTGCAGGTCTGCCTGGCTGTGGATGATGGAGGTCGACATATATAGGAGTCTCCCTAACAACAAGTAGTAGTGTTATTCCTTTACCCTTCTTGGTCATAGCAATGTAGAGGGAGTTGCAAGCTTCGCGTGTTTTAACTTTGTCAGAGCACTTTGAAAAAGTGGTTTGTGGTATCTGGAAAGCTGATGTTGCGTGTGAAGATTGCAGACAAGCTTTATCTAAGGAAATTTGGCTCTCGAAGTTTGGAGAGTGGTGCCTCTTCAGTTTTCAATCAAGAAATCTTGTCAGGGATCTGCTCTCGAGATTCAGAGAACGGTGCCTCTTTGATTTTTGAGAAAGTAATCCTGTTGGGAGTCTGACTCTTGAGATTCAGAGAGCAGTGTCTCTTCGATTTTTTGAGAAAGTAATCATGTTGAGAGTCTGGCTCTCGAGATTCGGAAGGCGGTGCCTCTTCGATTTTTGAGCACGTAATCCTGTTAGGAGTCTGGCTCTCGAGATTCGAAGAGTAGTGCCTCTTCAATGTTTGAGAAAGCAACTTGTTGGGAGTCTGACTCTTGAGATTCGGAGAGCAATGTCTCTTCGATTTTTGAGAAAGTAATCTTGTTGGAAGTCTGGCTCTTGAGATTCGGAGGGCGGTGTCTCTTTGATTTTTGAGCACGTAATCCTGTTGGGATCTGGCTCTCGAGATTCGAAGAGCGGTGCCTCTTCGATTTTTGAGCAAGCAATCTTGTTGGGAGTGTTTTCTCGAATGTGAGTAAAGGTTGGGCATTTTTGCTGGTTTGCCTTGCCATGGAGCACGAAGGTTGACACACTTTGGGACTTTCTAGTTATCAACCAGTGGTGCTGTTCCTTTACCCTTGTAGGTAATAATAGGGTATCTGGACCTTCAAAATTTATGTGTCTAACCTTTGTCAGAGATCTTTGGCAAAGTTATCTGTGGTACCCGAGGAGCTGATGTTGCATGTAGAAAGTGGTGCCTCTTCGATTTTTGAACCAACAGCCCTGTTGCCCTTTCTTTTATAAGGGCACCAATTGTGTGCAAGAAATACATTCAGAGAGTTATTGTTTGTACGAATTTTCCCCTTACTTCAGAGATTTATTGCACCTCATTTCTCATTCATCATTGCTGAGAATGTCTGGCCCATCCGACTGTCGTTTTGACTTGAACTTTGGTGAAGAGGCAGCCATGCCTTCTCAAGACAACATATAGCGCCCATTATTCTTATCCCCTACTGGTCCTCTTACCGTTGAGGACTCTGTGATGAAGAATGATATGACCGCTGCGGTGGTGGCTAGGAACTTTTTCACTCCCAAAGATAACAGACTACTTTCCAAACGGTCTGATGAGTTGGCTGTTAAGGATTCTTTGGCTCTCAGTGTTCAGTGTGCAGGTTTTGTGTCTAATATGGCCCAACACCTATTTGCTCGAACTCGCCAAGTTGAACCATTGGCGGCTGAAGTGATAAGTCTCAAATAGGAGATTAAAAGGCTCAAGCATGAGAATAAACAGTTGCACAAGCTCGCACATGACTATGCTACAAACATGAAGAGGAAGCTCGACCAGCTACAAGAATCTGATGGTCAGATTTTACTTGATCATCAGAGGTTTGTGGGTTTGTTCCAAAGGCATTTATTGCCTTCGTCTTCTCGGGCTGTACCGCGTAATGAAGCTCCAAATGATCAACCTTCGGTGCCTCCTCATTTTGGGGTTCTGCTTAGTGCTGAGGCTTCGAATAATCATCCTCTGGTGCCTCCTATTTCTGGGGCTCTGCCGACTGCTGAGACTTCTCCTAAGTAACCTTTGTGAAGGCTCCCTCTTGTTTGTTTATTTTGATTCATGTATATGTACATATTTGTAACTTATCGGAGATATCAATAAACAAGCTTTGCTTCATTTCAACGTATTGTGTTAAATACACCAAGGCCTTCTTCACTAAGTTCTTTGAATTTTTCATTTTGTTGAAGCTTGTATGTTGAAGCTTTGTGAGTGAAACATGTATGTTGAGATAGTGCTCCCTTAATTTCTCGAGTGAGGAAAACTTCTCGTTTGGAGACTTGAAAAATCCAAGTCACTGAGTGGTCGTGAGACTTCCGAGTATCAAGGTGTAGTAGCATATGGTAGAAGTCCCCCAAGTCTCCGGTCGAGGGAGTTGACGAATAAGGCATTTCCTTTCTAAGTGGTAGCCCAAAACTCTTTCTTCATATATATTTGTTATGAAAGTTGTTAGACCCAAA